ATCTATATCGATATAGGTCAGAAGAGCCATTACCTTTGAAGAGGACTGACTGCGAAGGGGCATGAAAGAACCTTCAGGAGTTTTGATGGTAGTCTATATCCGGATCTGGAGTATACGTATTAAAATTTTATTTTGTGTGTGTGTGTGTGTGTGTGTGTGTGTGTGTGTGTGTGTGTGTGTGGCGGGGTGTAAATCTAAAGATTTACAAGAAAAGAGATTCCACAAAATGTTAACATTTTCTAAGATAAACAAGCATTTGACATAGCAATGTAAAAACTGAACATAATTTCTTTAAGTTTATAGTTTTCTACTATTGTGATACTTTGACAATTCTTTTACTCCTTTTGTAATTTTGATGAACAAAATTATTATATTTATATTCAAGGTATTCAAATGTCTCAAAACTTAAACAAAAGACAAAAGGATTAACTTAGATATCAAGTGGATTCAAGTAAGCATATAAACATATAATGAAACAAGATAGAGAGTATTTTAGATGCAAAACTGCCATTAATCTAAAATCAGAACTACAGTGAAGATTTGGATAAATCATATGGCTTATGTGCAACATATTTAAAAGACTAAGTATAGTGCTGCCACCTAGCAGACAAAGCTAATAATGACTAATTTCAGTTCTGACAGGTTACATAATATCTTAGAAAATACAGAAACGTCAAATTATATATGTTTCAACAATACTCTGACAAAATAAAGCTTCAAGACTATCTGCCAAGTTTGGACAACAGCTAAAAAATCAAATACTTATGTTCTCAAATTATACGATTTGTAAAATAGCCACTGAGAGCCTAAACAATAGTACTGGGAACGTCAGGGGTTCCTGGTACAAACTCCATCCCATTTTAAAAACAGATCTTTCTACAAGATCCCAGGGCTACAGCTTCCCATACACAGTCTCTGGGGAGAATTACGAGCAATGACCAGTCATTTAGAATTCACTGAGTCTCTAAATAGATTTTAGGGATGAGTAACTAGAGGGTGTAACTGGTCATTGCTGAGAAAGATAACAGAAGCATAGGGTGTGCAAGCTTCTGAATAGAAATTTTCAGAGAAGTGCACTTAAGGAATGACAAGGTCTTTTCTCCTTTAGTGATGTCTGAACCCCTGTGGTTTCTAAAAAGTGAGCGCCCTAGTCCTCTGTGCTAGAAAAGCAAAATCACTCACTTTAAACTCCACCTCCTCCCCCATCCCCAATTTTCCTTACTTAGGCATCACCTTACAGAGCCTCCAAGTCAAAGAGTAAATTATATCTAGCTGGGGCCCTATCCACAAAAAAATGAAGAAAACTTACATTAGCCAGCCCTCTCAGGGCAGAAGGGCAGAGGGAAAAACCACGATAATCCTGGAAAATATATCACTGATCAGGAGACTAGGCGACTAAATATATGTCCAGAAACCAGAGGAGGATAGAAACGGTATCTTGTATCATGGCACTTTTCAGGGACAATAGGTATAAAATCCTATCATTTTACTGCACCTGAGCAATCTCACCTACATAGGGTCTGCCATCCTAAGCACAAATCAAGGATAATACGGCCATGGGCCAAATTAGCTAGAGAGACCTTCACAATTACCATGTCACTCACTAGCACAGATACTATCACTCTATAAAACAGAGCCAAACACACATAGACAAACTGTACAGCACACGCACACACACACACATGCACGCAGAGTACTGTGATAAAACATAACAGAGATTCATGCAAATGAAGAGTGCAAGGTTGTAGATGGGCTTTGCTACAAACTAGTTACATAATCTATGGCAGAGGCAATGAAGTATAATTGGTACGAGGCAATCCAGTGGATCAGGCACTGAACTGAGGGGTTTATAGACATCGAAAGCACTTATTATCAATCAGAAGAACAAAGTTCTAGGGTTCAAACTGTCTCTATTAGCTAGGGCTTAGGCCAAGTCAATTCACACTTCCAGAGCACAATCTATTGGGTCGTCGGAAAAGTCATGAAGTATTTTGTCTACGTTTTTCAAAGGTCATTTATTTATATAAAAACAAAGATCAACCAATGATCTATTGCCCATTTTGTTTGATAACCTTTTGCCATCTTTTAGTGAGCTTCGTAATTCCTCGTTCATAGAAGGACCTGTCTTTATGCGAAAAACTGAACAAGGTGCTGATTTACAGCCTCATCTGAATTGAGCCTTATACCATGCAAGGAGTTTTGAAGAGAGGGAAACAAGTAGAAGTCTGAATATGGCGAGTATGGTGGGTGTGGCAACACACCCATCCAAGTTCCAATGATTTTTGACGGGTGATCTAACTTGTGTGTGGTCTCGCGTTGTTGCAATGGAACACAACTCCTTTACAATTAGCAAGCTCTGGACGTTTCTGGATGATGGATTCATTCAAACCGTCCAAATGCTGACAGTACACATTCGAATTGTTTGGTTGGTTCCTTGGTAGGAACTCAAAAAACACGACACCTTTAAAATCCCACCACACTGAGAGCATAACCTTCCTCTGATGAATGTCTGCTTTCGATG